CTTTGTCCTTTCACTTCCAATAGTTAATCACAACAATCAATCCTTTGAATTATAAGAATACCTGCATTTAAAATGAGCATTTACCATAATTAAAGGTATCTTATATTATCAAACTTGTTATTACAAAACATGTTCTAGTTAAGGAGTTATTGATACTTCAAGTGCAAAATGATGATATAAAGCCTTGATAAAAATGCACTTTTAAGTACTAATCAACTGCCCACAAGTGTGAGAGTGAAAAGATGTATCAAATTTAATTTTGTTCCTATGATATGCTAGATACTTGGTCGTACATGTGAAGTGAATTTGAGTTCTCATTTCGAGATGATTGATACTATCATCCTATGTAATCTCACAACTTCATTTACATGCAACTTTACTAATTTGTCTATTGAGTTTGCCATCTTCACAAGTAGGAATAATGGAAATTTAGTGAGACAATCCGTAATGATCCATATGACATCATTTCCCTCCCTTCCTCTAGGAAAACTGATATGATCTAAGTAAGGATAGATTGGGTTTTTATTGTAAAATTTTGTACTGTATAGTTTTACACTATTGAGTATAACTCTAAATTCAACTGTTGAATTGAGCTGAAACTTGACGTGAAGATCCTGGAGATATTGGTCTATGTTGAGGTAAAGTTTCAGGTGAATTGAAGTTTGAAAATGACTTGTGATATAGGTCAGAACAGGCTGTATGCATTTTTTTTTATTTACTTCCTTTTGACTTGTGGACTTTCTATTTGACAATGATCCTTTTCCTACAAGGATGTGAGAGCTTGTTTTGAAAATTTCCTAGCTCCACAAAGATCTTTAATGAGTTGCAATATAATCTCCAAGTGTGGTAAGGATTCATTAGTGTTTCATTCTAGCTATACAAGGAAAGAAGGGCAGCTAGTATTTAATGATAGATTAATTATTTTTATTATTTTCTTTCATGTCCAGGCTTAATTAATACTTTGTTTTTCAGTTAGGATTCAAGGCTTGTTTGGACAGGCTTAATTAATACTTTGTTTTTTAGTTAGGATTCAAGGCTTGTTTGGACCAGGCTATGAGATTTTTCAATTTAGGGTATTTGAGTTTGTTTTGTATGTGGGTCAATTTAGCTTACTAGGGTAGATACATCAAAGTTAATTTTTACAAACTATTTAAACACATATAACAAAAATTTCAATAGCCATTAATGAATATTACTTCTAAATTGTTTAGTTTTAATATGTGAGAGCGATTCTTCCATTCTTCAATTCTTGAACGAACTAAATTTGACTTATCAAAAATTAACTAACTTTATGACATTATTCTACTTCATTCCAATAGAGTTGGTGCCTTGGGACAAGATTTTATTATGTCACACTTTCATTCCAATAGAGTTGGTGTCTTGGGACAAGATTTTATTATGTCACACTTCTATCATACCTATTTCAGCTTTCCAGGATCAGATCTCAATCTTAATTATAGGTTAAAATCCAATACAAAAATCCATTATAAATATTTTTTCACTTCCATTAAGGTACTAATAGTGGTTATAGTAGCCCTATAGGTTTCTGGTGTTTAACTTTCACTTGTAAGTTATACCATATTTTGCTATTTACTCATCTATTTATTTTTTCATGTTTGGCAACAAATAAAATTCTTTTAAGTCCCTCTGCATCTTAATACTTTCAGGATGTACAACAAACCTGTATTCATAAGCTTCCTTCAATACCTCATTCTTTAAAGCTTTATCATTTGACAAATATATTTTTTTATCCATTACCACTACCAAAAAGAGTTTCAACTTATGCCCTCACATTACTTCTCACTTTCTACACCTCCGTATCTTTTTATTGTGCTTTCAAAATCTTTTCTCAAAACATACTTTTAACTATCCCAATAAAGATCCTTCTATTCCAACTCCTAATAATGCATTCATTCTCTTTAACTTAGCCAATTCTTTTTTGTCCCAATTATAAAGTTCATCTATTATTGATTTATTCTTATGACTAGGCATGTCCATGATAAAATTTATTTTTTCAGGTGGTAGTATCTTACACAATCATAATTCTTAATTAGTTTCACCCATCTTCTTTATTACACATTTAACTCATTTTATGACATTAAATATCTCAAACTTTTATGATATGTAAAAAGATGAACATGAGATTCATACAAGTAGTGTCGCCATACCCTCAAACAAATATTATGGTAACTAGTTTAAATATCATGGACTGGATAGTTAACTTTATAAGGTTTCAACTATCATCATATATACAATTACTCCATGTTTCATTAATACATAATGAAGCCCTTTTCTCAATGCATCAGTATAAATTACAAATCCTTCAGTTCCTGAAAGAAGGGTTTACAATGGGGCGGTATTGAGTCTCTTTTTTATTGTTGAAAACTTTCTTTACACTCTTTAGACCATTTCAATTTCACCTTTTTTTTAGGCAACCAATTCAATGGAGTCACTATGGTTGATAAATCTTTAATAAATCTTTTATAATACTACTCTAATATAAGAAAACTACAAATCTCGATCATATTAACAGGTCTTTTCCATTTCAATAATGCTTCAATCTTACTTATGGATTCTTAAAAAGCAATGATTTAATTACATGTGGAATCTTTATTTTGTAAAGATTCAAAACTTTATAAG